CCGGGGGATATTGAAGACCCGCCTGGAAAAGGTCCTGTGCAGCCTGTTCTAGGTGACCCTGCTTTGGCAGGGGGGTGGTTGAACTAGATGACCCACAGAGGTCCCTTCCAACCCCTACCATTCTGTGATTCTGTGATTACGTATCTCAGCCTTTTCCACACCCCTGGTGGCAATATTCCCCCCTGCATCCCATAAGGGATGGAGCTTTTCCTTGGCCCTCTTTTTGCTGTGGATGTATTTGTAAAAACATTTTTTGTTGTCCCTTACAACAGTGGCCAGCCTGAGCTCTAGCTAGGCTTTTGCCTTTCTAAGTTCCTCTCTGCACAACCTAACGAGATCTCTGTACTCCTCCTGAGTCACCTGTCCTTTCTTCCATAGGTGGTAGACCCTCCTTTTTGTCCTGAGTCCTACCAAGAGCCCCCTGTTCAGCCAGGCCGGTTGCCTTCCCCATCGGTTTGTCTTGCAGCACATGGCAACAGCCTGCCCCTGTGCCTTTAAGACTTCCTTACTCAAGAATGTCCGGCCAGCCTGGACCCTTTTGTCCTTTAGCACTCTCTCCCAAGGGACCCTCTCAACCAGCATCCTAGACAGACCAAAGTCTGCCCTCCAAAAGTCCATGGTGGTGGTTTTGCTGGCTCCCCTCTTTACTTCACCATGAAGTGAGAACTAATTTCATGGTCACTAAGCCCAAGACGGCATCCGACCACCACATCTCCCACCAGTCCTTCTCTGTTAGTCTCAACAGAAACTTTTCCAATTGCTCTAAAAACTTTCATATGTTTCAGATTCATAACTAGATCCTAGATTATGGACTGGTAAAACTCATGTACTCAAAGTTACTGTGCTAATTTATGCCACATGTTCCAGTTCTAAACTGCAGAAAGATCAAACACTTAATCACAACGCAGTAAAAAATAACTCTCAAAAGCCCCAAAAGTTCCGAGAATGAATGTGCTACATTATTTAATGCAAACTGAAAAAACAGTTAACATCTGAAATTGAGTTTCCTGTTGAACTAAAAATTATTGCTTAATGTCAGATCATTTTAGTGTATATAAAATGCATCATGTATTTGCTACTATTTTGTTTCACAATAAGCTCAAGTTCTAAAATTATGAGATGGGGGAGACGATCAGAAGAAAGGCCTACGCAGAATTAAAGTATCCCTGAGCTTCAAAAGCCAATATGTTTTAGTACCAGTATTATCTTCTCTTTCTGCAGACAGTATTTTACCCTTCCTTTAGTCAGTTCATTTTTTGCACGCATCTTTTTGATTTATCTCTTTGATTGTGACTGTCTATATTGAATTCCAAATGTTATAAAATAATGAAAAACTAAAGCTATAGTTAACCGCAGCTTCTTAAAATTAAGCTGCTTGAATTATTTTTTATTTGGATTGTCTGCCTTCACTGACCTTCAGTATAAACTCAAAGTATGATTTGAATCAAATATTCTGTTTGTTACTCAGTGGTAACATTATTAATTTTGTCTTCAATGTTATTCACTCCTCTGAAAAAGTATCTGTGCCAACTGCTTTCCAATGAGCACACAAAGCAACGGGTATGTTTGGGAGGAGCATACCATCCCCATTTCAGTGAATATGATGACACTGCAACTGCAGTTATTTCAAGCAGAGCAGTACCAACCAAAGAGTCTAATAAAAAGCCTTTTCAAATTATTCTGCGTCCTAGATATCCAGACCCTTTTTAAAGCTTGTTACACCTATTGGAATACACCATGCTCACAATACAAAGAGTAACAAAAGTGTCAAAGTAGTGTGACCACAATCACCCTCTTATACTTTAAAAATCAAATGATTTTTTTTTTTCCCACTAGCCAAGACTTCTTCAAGCTTAAACTGATTCCATCAAATATTGGGGACTTTTTTTTTGTGAAATAGATCATACTGAATTAAATACCAATGGCAAACCCTATCAGATATTGCAGTATATTAATACTATAATTAGCTAAAACAATCTCATACCCGTCTTCTGTTTTCACCTTCTTCCTGCCTTTGTCGTTTTCTTTTCTCTATAAATAAAAAAATAATTGTCTGAGCTCCATACAAGAAAAATCATTATCAATATTTTTTAAACAAACAATGAAAATCCAAAGTTAACTATCAAAGATTCTTATTGAAATAGATGGCTCATACAATTACAAATACACAAGAGACAAATCTGCTTGTCTATCATTACGGAGTTTCCCATTAAAATGAAATCATCATGATGGTATCCTGAGTCAAGGCATAACATTTGGATACCAGCTGGCAAAGCAAAAAAACCCCTCTTAGAAATAGTTGGAAAAAGTATGACATTAAGAAACTTGTTCTATATCTGCTATATAGCTGGAAGTGTAACATCACAGTATCAAAGCAATAGTAACCTCTTTACGGGAATAAGAGACATTCCTCTTCTCAAACAAAAAAATACTACTACTCCAGGTAAATACACGTTTTGTTTTTCATAAACTATGAAAGGAGAATAAAAGTATTCCATAATATAACATTGTAGCCAGAGATTCTAAACATTTACTCAACAATGACAACAGCTTCTAACAGCTTTCAAGAAACACTGTGAACAAAAATTAACATTAAAAAATGAAAAGATCTCCAAAACAGCAGATAATTACAGCTCTACAGAGCAACATGCTTTCTGTGATAAAACACAGTTAGTTGAAACAGCAAAAGATCCTACAGGAAATGACAGAATTTTGGCAGCTCAACCAACACACTTACACAAAGAAAGATTAAAATGAGTTTGTTGATGATAAAGACAATTTCAGTGCTAATCATCCTTTATTACAGATTACACAAGCACCTCCTCAGGTATTATTAGATCAGTCATGACTTCAGAGGAGCACCACTTCAAGGAACTGTGAAATATTTAGAAATACCTAAAATTCAGATACTGGATGAGTAGAACTGATCACTTCAGACGTCAATGAAATCCAGCGCTATTTATACAGCAACCACAATGCTCTAAGTCTGCTGCATTCTGTGCGGCAGACTGCCTCAGTACAGTTCTCCAATTATTGACAAGCTGTATGTTTTTTTTTTGTGCAACATTTCAGACAAGTTTAACTTAGCAACTTACTATATGTTGTAGGAAGACTAGGACAGACAATCTAACCTACCTCTTCTGATTAGCTCTTTTCCTTCATCAATCAAATCAGAGGTCATTTCGCTATCCCCCATGAACTGCTGGAATCCCAAAAGATTCAAACAACGAGTTCCTAAACTGGTAAAAGCAGAAGGACAAGCAATTTCCTTTGTTAACTTAAAATGAATAATTCAGATACGTTACAATGCAAAACAAACTAGATTTTTCAGAAATTTCTGGACAATTCAAGTAAAAAAGCAGTATAGTAGAAAAGACAGATTATTATAGTGGCTGAGAAATCAGAAAATTCAGAGCAGCAACACATTCCTAAATCCAACTGAAAGCAATGGAATAATCCTTTTCAATTAGAAAGATAAAACTGTTTACACTCTGAGAGCAGTGCAAATGAATTAAGCTAAGACAATTGCTTGAAACGTTCTCAGATATAACAGCATTTATACCTATGATATCTCAAGGATTTGCCTGCTGTAGGTGACCCTGCTTC